TTATATTATATTATGTTAAAATAAAATAATTTTAAGTATAGTTTTACTTAATTTTTTATTAACTAGTACTGTTAACACTAATTTCTTTAAAATTATTTATAGAAAATTATTTAAAAAGGTGTATTTATAATTAACTCAACAGAAATGAACAGTTCAAAAAAAAAAAAAAGCCTCAACAGAAATGAGGGGTGGTGTTATTGCCACAGCTTCAAAGGTTAACACCACAGCTTTTTTAATTAATTGACCATTAACCCTCGCGGAGAAGGTGGTGACTGCTGCAAAGTTGGATTCAAATGAGAGGTATAATAGTCAAATAATTTAAAAAATCTGTGATATTAACATTAGTGGCTGCGGCAATAACACCACCCGAAATGAGGACCCAAAATTGGCCCAAACTAGTGCGACGTGGCTTCCGAGGGCTCGTATATGTTGACTTTTCCTCAGGTGCTCAACACCATATACGCACGACAATAGTATGTGACTCACAGTCAGTCAGTCGACTTCATTGTCAGGACTTAAATTTTTTTTTTTTTTTGATCCTATAATAAAAAATAATTATTATTAATTTGTTATCTCAATTTTATTCACATATTATTAAATTTAAAATTAAAATTTTTTATTTTTAATAAAAATAAATTATTAAATTATTTAGATAATTAACATCAGACTTAATTAATTCAGTGTAAACGTTTTTGTGCAATTTTCCTCCGCTCTATTCAGCAACCCATCCACAATCATAAAACTACAAAGAAAATTACTTTACTAGTACCAAAACAAAAAGCCCTAGACATGATCACATGCATTTTTTATTAACGAAAATCGCTAGATATATAAATATATAGCTGCAATATGGTAAACAAATATTATTTATACTTGCATTTGCATAGTTACTTTTAAACATATTTTTACTAAAAAGCATAATCATATAAGTTTGTTTGAGCTCTATTATATTCGGTTCAAATATTTGCAAGTTTAATGTGTTAGATATAGATAATTGATATTTAAATAACTATCATTATTATAGTTTATATTTTGAAAATGATATAATTATAATATGAAAATAATACTTATCTGTTTTACCTTTTAAAGATTAGAAAAAATATTATTTCAAAATTACATTATTTTAATAAATACCTATTGAAAAAATCTAAAATATCATATTTTTAAAGCATGAATTAGGGTTTTTAAAATTTTTTTTCTTCTAATTTTTTGAAAGTAAGGTAAACAAATCTAACCTTTTATAATATTATATAAGATTTATAAATTTATAATATAATATATTATTATGTAATTAATTTTTTTTAAAATTTATTTATAATATTATATGTATTTATTCTTTAATAAATATTATTATATCTTAAAAATACCTACATACATCTCATTTAATAATGTATCACGTTTTTTTAATAACACATTATAATTATAAATTTATAATTTGATATAGTATTATAACAATGTTATATTTGCTTCCATTTTAATTGCAATTTTTCATTGTCCTATATATTTTTTGACAAAAATTCTTTATCTTGTCTATTATATTATGTCAAATTATAAAATATAAATTATTAAAACACAATCTCATTTAAAAATTAAAACTATATAATTTAAAATTTTAAATTTCGTGACTTAATAATTATATTGTTGTCAAAATCTAGATTTAAATCTTAAAATCTTACGATTTTACGATTTCAGTAAGACATTTCGTGTAAAATCTATACTAAAATCTGAAATTCATAAAATCTGACGATTTCACAGTAAAATCTAGATTTTACCGTGAAATCAGGTGAAATAAGGTAAAATCTCGATTTTACCTGTTTGGTAACTGGACTTTTAGCCTATTTCCTTTTGGATTTTTCATCTTGGGTTAGTGAGTTTTGACTAGATAACCCATAAATTAAGCTTATTTTTCATTTTAAAAGCCCACAACTCACACAACCCAACCACAAATCAACATTTTAATCGGGAATTCGGGACAAATTTGATTTAACTATCTAAAATTCTAAATTTAAGTCATCTTCTTCATTTAATTTATTTGTATTGTTGGATATTTAGATTTTAATTAGCTAATTTCAAGTTTCTAACTCTAAATTTGATTTATTGTTATTTAATTTTGATTTTATATAATTTATTATATATTATATATTAAATTTTGTAAAATC